GCAGGAATGTCTACTTACTTGACATCTGTGCTGCCATAAAAATCGTTATTATAGCACAACCGCAGCACAAGCAACATCTGTTTCAGCCCTTTTCGTCTAATTCTCTAGCTGACAGATGTCCGTCACTTGCCGTTCGGAGTTCTAAAAGCCTGTTCCCATGAGTCGAAGTTGACCCTATGTGGTAGTAGCTTGAAGAACCCATATCCAATAATATGTAATACAGGAAGGGAGCGCAGAAAAGTCTTTTGCGTAGCAGCTCTGCCCATAATACTCAGGGATTGTTCATTCCTATGGAGCAAATTGCTTTAAAGGTTAGCAGGACAAACCAAAGGAGGTCATTCCTCCACAGCACCACACAGCAGAGGCAGCACACCTGGGAGGATAATGGACAGAGCGGATTGCTCATGCCCGGTGTCTGTGAGCAAGTCCCAAGAAAGATTGCCTCTGCCCAAGACACCATCTCCAATTGGGGCATCCGCCCTACACAACCCTCTAAGCTCACTGGGAGGCACCTGTTGAATACTTTGCTCAGCAGCCCCCATTCCTTGCTGCACAACCATGTGTTTTTATTGCTCTGTGGGCAGGAAAATGTCCGTGTGCTCAGCTTGGTAGAGGGACCCCACTTTGGAAAAGAAGCAACCTCTAGATCTTCATTTAGACACTGTGGCTTCAATTAAAGGTAATTACTTCCCTCTTTAAACTGAGGGCAGATTCTGTTAAACTTATTTGCTGTCCCCTGCGGCTCTCATGATAGAGGTAGAGCAGCTATGTGAGGGCAGGCTCTAATGAAGGGTATAGCTGCTAAATGAAGATATACAGAGCGGTATCTAGGTCAGAGGAGCCAGATGAAAGCATCTGCCATGTTTCCATGCTTTTTTCACTGGCCTGCTAATAAACATGTTAGCTTTCCAAATTATTGCAAGCAGCTGTATCCACTAGCAGCCCACAAGAATATATTCACTGTATTTGAAAGGTTTGTAATGAAGGTAAGGCAGCTTTGATGTCGTAGTTGATTTCAGATTAACTCCATGAGTTAAATTCATCCCTTGTGTAACTCCACTGAAGCCAGTACATTTGGCTTTATATCTTCTAAGCCTCTATTTTATGTGAGGCTTGAAAAGAAATAGATGTTTGCATAAACAAATTGATCTGGGAAATATGTATTTTATAATATATAAGTATGGCTACTTGAAATCCTGCATGTATCTGATCATCCCCAGTAACAAATTACACAATCTTGTGTTCATATTTTCCAAAGGGAAAAAAAAAGTTGTTTGCTTCTTATTGTCCTCCTTATTAATGCAACTGAGAATCAGATTGTGTTTTAATGGAGCTACAAAAAAGGAACTGAGTTTTATTTTGTGAAGTAGCATATCTACTCTACGTTCCCTCATTTTAAAATGGGTCTGGGGCCAAATCATCTCATTGCGGCATTTTCTCCTTCCATCATTAATACACTGGGCTATGGTATAAAGGTGTTTTCATGTCCTGGCTCATTGAAGAAACTGAAGAACCCCGAGCTAATGAAAATGTGACTTCTCTAGAGCAGAGCAGCAACCTTCAAATGAAGGATCTTAACATAAAGGTTTTTTTTATGGCATCTTGCCATGAAGGTTGAACTACTAAAACCCAGCACCCTTTTAAGTGTTGCCTTTGGCCCTGGGTTGTAGCCTTGCTGGCATTTGTTCAGTTCACTGCCTGTAAGAGCTGCAGCTCCTCAATCATCTTACAAAGACAGTACATTTTTATCTATACCATCCTACACTACCTATCATTCTGCAAGTTTGCAGCTTGTCTGTCTAGATACTAGGCCTGTACGAAGTGGCTAGTATTTGCTTTGGATTTGACCGATTCAGGGGACAGTGATTCGATTCCGCGATTCAAATCACTGTCCCGATTCGATTCGGCCAAATCTGATTCGGAGATTCGGCTGCTGCTGAATGTCCAAATCTCTGAATCAGCCAAGCCAGGCCCATCCCCCACCCGTCTCCCAGCCTGGCAATGGCTGCCCACCCCCGCCCCAGCTCCCGGCA